TTCAAATTCGAGTCAAAAAGAAACTGAGAAACTGATAATTTGCCGGATTAAAAGCTAATTTTTTTCTTCGGAATAAGTCTTTTTCCAAAAGTGTAAAGGATAATTCAAAAAAGCCTAAAATTCTAGAAATAACAATTTTTGGCATTGCACTATTGATACAAAAAAAGTGAGCAAGAAAACCAAGCAGCCAATTTTGCAACATTCTGACGTTTTGATAACGAAACTTTCATGTCATTGTGATAAGGGGTGATGCATAATTGCTTGCCGGCTTGTTTAGATTTTTCCGGCGTCTGAAAGAACGGGAAAGGGGGAAAGAGGGTTGACCCTAATTCAGGGCATAGAAACTTTCTAACTACGCTATTTTTTGACTGTCCTACTTCCATTTCTGGAGAGGAGGATGAATAAACTAAAATAAGTTTTTTTTAATGTACTTGAAAACGGAAAAAACATTTCATTATGCTTGAAAAAAATTTCTTTTTTTGAAGTAAAATGAAGGGAGTAAAACTTATATTTGGTCAAACGCCGAACTAATTTTTTTCGTAGAAAAAAATGTAGGATTTGAAACAAAAAAATCATCTAGTACGGTAAATCAATTTGGGCCAAAAGTAGGCTTATAAATTTCATGTCTTTTTCCAACTTTTTTTATTGAAAAATCCAGTTTAAGTCGGATAATTGAAATGCAAGAGAATCTCTAGTTCGGTTAACCTTGCAAAGCGGAAGAATTGGGCAAAATCAAGAAAGAGATTGTGTTGATAAGATGCGCCGGTCGAGTTTGCGCATATGTATGAAAAAGTCATAAATTTCGACGTGACGAATTGCCCAATGTCCTGTCCATTTATATTTGTTGCGTTTCATTTGTCGCTTTCCTTTCTCAAACAGTGCCGTGTGATGATAGATAAATCGTCGTCGTTTTTGTCTTTGATCGCGAAAAAAAAGATCAGACGAAGATGGAGAAGAGGAGTGAGATAAATCACCGAAAGGTTCCTGGAATGTTCGAGAAACAAAAAATCGTTGTGAAAAAAACGTGTAACTTCTGAAATCTGATAAAAGATTTAATAATTTGTTTAGAAGGTAAAAACGAAGATTTTTCTTTCGACTATCGAGTATCCAAAAAGGAACTTTATTTTACTTTAGGGTTCGGGTTTTTGGGAAATTTAGCCATCATACTCCTTAATGTACAAATTAGAGGTTCTGAATCTTTTACTATTTTCTAAATTTCAAGAAAAAACTCCTCATTTTTTCAAAATACGTTAGATCGATTAGACACAAAACCTAAGGTTTTGTATCTCAAAAAAGTAGTTTTACAGGCAGAAACCCCCCAAAAACCCGATTACGTTTCATGTTGTTCAGCTCAAAAAAATTTCAGGCTGGTTTCTACAGATTCACTCATGGTGACTTTTTTTTTGCTGGTGATATTTGATTTTGCTGATCCAAATTTATATTCCAAAATTCCGAAAATTATATGTATAAGCTTTAAAAATGATTTCATCGTTGGCGAAAAACCGGAAACTGGTCAAATAGACACCAGAAAAGAGTTAAAGGAGCATCAAAATAAACGCATTATGTTATGTTATCGCTCCATTGTTCGTTGCTGTTGACAGGCCAACACAATGAGGGCATCGAAATTGCTCAAAATAGTGCAAAATGAATGAAAACAAACTTTTTTTGTGGAGGGAAAACTTTTTTTTTTGAGTCAGAAGTATAGACTACATTGAGAAAAATGTGAAACTCCCGTGAAGACTAGAAAAAATTTTTTCCTCATCTTCATCCGGTTTACCGGTCAATTACCGGTTCACTTGAACTTTCCTACTTCTCATGAAATTTCAAAAAAACCAAAAAATCTTTACAAAATCAAGAGTAGGAAAAACCTTTCCTTTATCATCACTTATTTTCAGCAAAAGACCGCTCAAAAATTGAAAAAAAAAGTCAAGTTCCCTAAATTATTTCAGCTTCGCGTTCTCAAACAGAAAAATGTGGAAGTTTTTTTTTTGCTGTACAAGGAAAAAAAAACTCAAAAATAAAAAGAATCGGTTTCGAGCGGAATAAAAACTTCAGGGCCATCCACTCAGTTTGATGGCTCGTGTTCATGTTTTTCCTCCTACACATTCCTTTCACTAAATGGAACAGAAAAAAGCAAATGTTTGACCGTAGGAACGGTTTTTGCGACCTTGGCGTCAATTGTTTTCGTTGCTTTAACTTCAACCAACTCTTTCGCGACCAAAGGCGCCGTTTCGTGCCATAAATGATGGATTGACCTGTCTTCGTTTCAGTATTTTTAGCGAAAATCACGGTCTTTGGTAGGAGACAACAAATACCAGTCTTTTATCAAACACGTGAGCTGAAACAAAAACGATTAAAAAAAACGTCAAACTGAACTGATTCGGTTTTCAACTGGAAAAGAACTTTTTTTGGCTCCATCAAACTGCGATCACGTTTCTGGACGTGATGATACCTAATCAACACTTTTTTTCAATCTTGTGATCGTTTTGACAATGATCACGCATGGAACATTACGGGGAAAGTGAAGAAAATGTGGAAGTGGAAAAATAATTTTTACGAACTTTTTGAGAAGGAAGGCTTGCTGATTTTATTGAAATATTGACAATTTGAGAAAATAAATTTTAATTAAAATATTGTGATTATCATTTTTTTGCATTTTATCATGAAATGCTGAAATTCAGAAGATAAATTCAAGGCTTGGAATATGATGACGCTTTTTTTGGATTGAGCTTTTGAACTTTTTCAGCTTAGCTTTTTTTTGAAGCATTCCTTTGAAGATTTTTGACAAAGGAAATCGTTTCAATCGCGTTTTCGGTTTTTTCTGCAAATTCTTCAATAATTTTCCAATGTTTCCCTAGTTGTGGAATTTTTCTGACATGCCATTTCAACACGATATAAAAATCATTTTAGCTTTTTTTCCTCGAAAATTATAAAGATTAACATTTTTTTAGTTTTAGTATCCCTTTAAATTTTTCCTAAAAAAAAAATTTAAAAAAATCCCAATTTTCTTGGCTAACCTTGGTTTTCGTAATTTCTTCGCCCCAACCTACGGAAAAAAATCTCTTTGTCTCGATGTCAAATCGTAGCGGCTCAAATTTACAATACTTTTTTTTTCTTCGACGGAAGTATGTTATCTTGACAAGCTTGTTTAACTTTGGCGCGTGCCATCAGTATGTAAATACTGAGGGCGCCGCCGCTGGCGCTACACTTTGATGTGCACGTTTTAGGTGAACCGGAAGAGATGTTCGTGGTTATTTCGGGTAGTTTCAGGATGCAGAAAAAGTTTCAGGGACCCCGCCGATCCAGGGAAATTCTCCTTGAATCTCAGTCCTTTGGAAGAAAATCATCATGTTAATCGAGGTTTTGAAATTTTTTTAAATTTCAATCCAGAACAGAAGCTTTTTCCAGAAAAATCCTGAAAATGTGTTCCAATTAATCAGCGTCCGTTCGAAAATTTTCATAAAAGTCTTTCTCACAAAAATTTGGCTTAAGATGCTCCAGCTTCATTGAAGTTGCAGAATTATTTATCCGAAAAAAAATTTTCGATAAAAGTTTTTTGATGAAAACTATCACAAGTTTCATTGAAACTTAATTTGGGCGGATAACTTTTTTTTATTTTTATTATTTTGCCAAGTTATCAGGACTATAGACTTTTTGGAAATACGCGCATTTCAGGATATTCTGATTCCAAAAATAAAGTTTAATCTGACTTCTGAGCTTTTAAAATTGCCTTTGATGACTTTTTTTGTTTAATTAAACAAAATATCAAAAGCCATACATTTTTTTGTTGTTTTTTTAGCGATTTTGATTTTTGAGAAAAATACGGACGCTCCTTGAGAAAGACTGCAAAGCAACTTAATGACAGTCGTTACCTTCAAGAATTTTTTTAGCAAAGTTTAAAACCAGTTTGGTTGGTCCCACTTCATTTCAAATTTAAAAAGTTATGATTTTCCAATACAATTTTTTTGAGTTTTTTTCGAATCCCCTTCAATAAATGAAACCAAAAACGCGTAATTTGAGAATGTTTGAAAACGATGAGACGTCTTACAATATTATTACACTTTTCTCGCGGTTTCCAGCGGACTCAGTGGTGTTCGACTGGCGCTTTACTGAAATAAATCTCTCGAACTTTTTTTTGGTACCAAGACTCTGATCAATCATACAACTGTGAAACGAGAACTTGGAAAAAAATTATATCACATGGGTGTCGGGAGCAGAAAAAGTTGAACTGCTGATTTCCGGAAGGTGAAAAGAAGAAGTAAAAGTTGATTAATGATCAAGATAATGAGAGAAATTTGTGATTAGAAAATTTTTCTCTCGCTGTGATTTGAAGAAAATCACGAGTTTTTTTTTCCGCTCGTTGCGTTAATTAATGAGGTAGGGCAACGCAAATTTATTTCTTCAGCATAATTTATTGGGATAATAGGATTTTTGAGCGTCTCGAAAGCTCAATAACTAAAAAAAGAACTCTAAAAAAGAGGGCTAATTTTGGTTTTCAATTTTTCAATGAAGTTTTTAGAAGGCGTTTTTGAAGAAATTAAATTTTTTTCAAAAAAACTGAGAAAAAAATCGTGATTAAAAATTTGAACGTGCCAAAACGGAAAAGTTTTTCGAGAAGTTGAAAATAATAAAGACAACAAAAAAAGGAAGAATAAAAAGTTGCATGGATTTTTCGATTCACTTTAAAAAGACTGGAGAGTTCAAATGATTCAGGGAAACTTTTTGAAAAAAAGCTTCTGCAAAAAAATTATTTTTTTCTATCAATTTTCAAAAAAATCGAGTTCTTCTGGAAAAAAATTTTTCCAACTGGAAAAGTTTGAAGCGTTAGTGTTAATATCCGTTTATTTAAGGGTTTCTAGCCATTTCGAAAACTTTCAAACCAAGTAAGGTTGAAATAAAAAGGCTAGTAATTCAAAAAAACAGAGAAACTTAATGCAGAACTATAGAAAAAAGAAAAGCTTTTTTTTCGATTTTCCACCCTCAAACAGTCTTCAACCTTATTAATAACCTCTCCTGATTTGAGCATCGCTACCTGGAAAGACCTTTAATAAACTGACCAAGTATTGGTTCGAAGTTGGAGAAGGGGGGAGGGGGGTCGACGTGAGGTTTGTCGGTCGATTGGAGCTGTAGGAGGTGTCGGAAAGATCCGGGGAGTGGTTGGCAGCAGCTGGCAGCAAGGCAGTGAAGAGTATCAGTCTTTCGGCGCCCAGTGATAGGGCGGAGATAAACTGTTCTTGCGAATGAAACAGCAAAAGAACGGAAACATCGAGGCGACAGAACGCGGCTGCCGCTGGAGAGTTCAGAGAAATCATGCTCGTTGTTGTTTGAGTTGAGATTACGAGGCCGAACATAAGTGCCACCACCGAGGTTGCTTCAAACCCATCCACTGAATCAACATTTTATCATATCATTTGGATCTGAGAGATTGATAGGGATTTGATAGGTTTGGATTTTTGGAAAAAATGGTACAAGAAGGTTGATTCTGAGAGTTTGGTGAAACTTGTGTCTGATAGAATAAATAATCCTTCTTGATTTTTCTTTTTTCAAATGTCACTACTTCGAAGCTTTCTCACTCCTAGTGAGTGACAACGTTCTTCTATTCTTCTGACTCCGACTTTTTTCAGATGAAAAAAAATGAATATGTTGAGTTTTTTTAAATTTTTTTATAAGATTCCTAAATTCTTTTGTGTTGTTCATTTTTTTGATATGCCGTTAGTTTCTTTTATTTTAAGTCAAAAAAACTCGAAATTGGAAATAGTCGATTTACAAGATTCAAGGCTTGAGCTTCACCTTTCAAACAAAAATTGGCTCAATAATTTGAATTTTTCGAAAAAAAATTTTCTCACTTATCTGGCAGCAGATTTTGAACTCAAAAACATAATTTTTTATCATTTTCAAACCTACATAACACTTTCAGCCCCACTAAAAAGTAATGGTTAAGTCAAATAAGAATTATTTTGAATAGACGTTTCCCCTTACTTTCAAAGAATGCCACATTCTTCTATTCTTTCAACTTAGACGTTCTATTTCAGAAGAGAAAATTAGCATACCGAATTTCACCTGCTTCCAACGTCAATAGGAACTCGGTGATTTCATAAGCAACGTACAGAATTTGAGATGATGATTGATTAAACATTTACTCAGAAGTCCAAGAATCAACTCCTTTTGAAATTCAGATTATTTCGTCATTTGAACCGTCCTTTCAAGTCAAAAGATGGTTATCGCAAGGGGAATGGCTTGAAAAATGCAACCTTTTTCTCACTTTTCTTTCGCTTGCTTTGAAATTCCACAGATCGTTTCAACAGAGAAATCCCCTTTTTTATATTCAATCCAGTCGTAATGACAAAAAAAAATCACCGGATATCAACTTAAAAATCAAGTTGTTTGAATTGCGATGGAATGAAACACGACGGGCACGCGCAAACTTTTCGTTTTTTCTTCTGTTCAGTAACAATCTGATCGGATAGTTCCGCTGGTTTCTTTCATAAGAGGTGAGCAAACTCAAATTACACATCAAAAGAAAACAGTCTGGTTTATCAGTTCCTTGAACTTTTTTCCCCGAAAGTAATTTGCAACTCTGAAGGTGGTCTCTTTCAGAAAATGAACGGAATGCCCGTCAGAAAACCCTAATTCATATTTCAACGATGAGCCTGTCGAAGAAGGATTTGAGGATTTGGGGAAAAGTTAGCTGGAATATGTTAGTAAATCCTTTCAGTTAAAAGAAAATTCATCTTTTAAATCCTCAAGGTATCCAGAAAAAAGCCATTTTTCTTGTTTTTTTGTAATTATCTTAAAAGATTCAGCTTTTTTGTGCATCTGCGATAACATTTCTGTGTACCTCTTAGCAGATAATCTCCCTTGATATCGCGTATTTTTCAACTTGATCATTGAATTTGACAGTTTTTCAACATCACTTCGTATCATTTAGCTGATACCTGAAAACGTGTTGAAAAAAGCGGATCAACGGGTAATATTTATTTCAATGCACTTAAGGATACAATTCAAAACTTCACACATTTCATTGATTAATACTTATTAGAGTTTCTTTTTTGAGACGTTAGATTCAGTTTTCTTCACTATTGAAGCGAGCCAGTTGGCGGGCGAGATTTTGGACCAAGATTCTGTTGGGTCTGAGGTCGAGCTGTGCCGAGATGTCGCGGATCGCCTCTTCCATCGAGGCGGAGTCGGCTGAAAATTGAGATTTTAGGACTTCGAAAGAATTTTAGGACTTTTTTTTGCTGTAAAATTGATTCTAAAAGCCGAGGAAAAAATCCAAATCATCAAGAAGAATGATAAAATCACCTCTCGAGTTGTAGTCGAACTGCATGGAGCTATAAGGTTTGGGCTCTACAGTCATTGGGAAGAAGGATCTTTTTCCGAACCTCATACCTGAATCGCTCGAATTTTCCATTGCAGAGTCAAATGATAAAGAAACAGCTGAATTAGGATTAATCGCGTTTCTGGAAAATATTGCTTCCATCTGTCCGTTACCAGGAGACCAGGAAAGTATTCGATACTAAGGAAGTTGAGGTGACTTTTTGGTACTTTCTGTGGTCTTCGTAAAGTTTTCAGGAATAACTCTGACACCTCACATTTAAAATTCAGCTTCTTTTTTTCTCTTTGAACTTTTCAAAATAAAGCATTTTTTTCAGAAAAGATCGAAGGAAAAGTTTTAAATAAAATGTTTATAGAGCCCACCTTGATGGCATCCGATGCATTCGCAGCATTCGATGGTCATTTTTCCGGCACAGACGCTGTCGCATTGGTTATTTTTGCTCCGAGCTGCCGCTCCCGCGACAAAAATTGCCAAGATGCAGATTTCTTTCACGCCAATCATTGCGTATCTAGTTTTACCTAAATCTGAATGATTGAATGGGTTTCTGCTTAAAAAAAAATTCGTAGTGGAAAAAAGTGTCGAACAACTGTTTTCAAGGATGTTGGAAGAATCTACAAATGAAATGGAATGATCCAGGACCTAGGTGGGCGCAAAATTTTTCTTTAATCTTTTTTACAAACGTCATCAATATCAGTATTGAAATCAACATAATGATAGGACGGTATCGAAATTAGTCAAGAAAGTCTAAGTGAAGGAGTTTTTACTTTTGTTCAAAGCCATTGATAAATGCACGACACAAAGAACGGAATTTGCCTTGGAAGCTGGCAGAAAAAGTAAAAGGTCGGCTCTGAACTACCGAGGCCGTCTTTTATATCAGAGGTTGGCCGAAACCACCTGCCTGCCTCCAAAAATTTTTTTTTCCAAACCTCTCGACATATTTCAGGCAAAACTCAAATGCCACCCTCTAAAAACCTTATGATTTCTTGTCTCCAATTCAAATCTTGACAAATTTACGTCACTTTTGGTTTCGAAAGAAATTTTTCAAGTAAGAAAAACAATTTTGGGATGGTCATTATACCGATGACTTGTAGAAGGTCGTTCGGAAATATGTGAATTCGAGGAAATCCCACAAAAGTGAGGTTGAAAAATAAGGAGCGTTAGAGGTTCAGTGTTCTCGATACGTTACCAGGATAATTGGGTTGGACAAAAATAGAGCAGAAGACAGTTCGGCGGGACGACAAAAAGCCCAATTTGCCACGAGATTTATGCGCGTTGTTCAGCTGGGTTGAAAAATGAAAGGAACATTTTTTTATTCGTCTTACCCTTTTTCATTCATTTTTCTATTCTAAAAGTTTTTTTCTTAGAAAACACGTGTTTGCCGTTCAAAAACGGACTTTTATCGAAAAAAAAAGATTTTCGGGAATTTTTAGATTAGTTTCATAAGTTCTCCTTTCAAAGAAGGATGAACTAATATTTCCAAAAAGTTTTATGAATTCGAAAGTTAGAGCTCTAAAGGCTGTCAATAATACTATAAATGAGTAAAAACATATTTCAAAGTTCTCAGAGTGACGTTTTTTTCTGTTTTCTTTTCTTTGCATATATGCGAAATTGAGCTTTGTCATGCGAAAAAAATAATTTTTTTGAACAAAAAAAAGGTTATTTGAAGTTTTTCTTAGCGTAGTAAATAAGTGAAAAAAAGAGATAGAAATAGAATAAAAAAACAATAAATTTTTTTATGCAAAAAAATGTGTTTTTAACCTAGAAGAAAATGAGTAAATGAGAAAACTGAGAAAAAAGGGTTATGACGTGGAAGAATGATGCTAGTAAAAATGAGAAAACGTTCCACTGTGGGAAAAATTTTGTAGCTTTATTCATAGAAGTTTTCAAGAAGTGTTGAAAAAGTCTGAGACTATGGTTTTCGAAGAATTGGAAAGAAAAAAAAGCGTATCTCAGTCCGCTTTTCTACGTTTTCGAACTGTGAATAATGTCTGGTGTTTTTTTACGAAAATTTGCAGTCCTTGAAATTGCAGGTTTCCAAAGGTCAATCAAGTAAAGTCATGAGAAAAGTTCATAAAGTTCATCTGAATAAACTTTCTACTCAAAATGACGCCTTACCACTCCGATTAGTATGCCGACAAGCAGTTGGAAGCCGGCCAAGGCTACCCCACGCAGAAAAAAAAAAGAATTCCTTTGCAGGTTGTAGTGTTTTCAGTAGTAGCCAGTTGTGGAATCGCCTTTTCACAAAATACTACTAATCCTGAGAGCTTTGAAATGCGGTTGAAGTGAGGAAGTAAGGCTTCAAGATTTATATAAATTTCACGCAATCGGAAAAAAAAAACGAAAATGTTAATAAAAGAGCGGGGGGATGGTGGAAGATTCGCTTTGAGTCGAGCTCATTTTTTCATTTCACGCCCATTTCAATCCTTCATAATCTTATTTCGACGCTCCCAGTCCGACCTGAAGTTCATTCTTGATCACTTGAGAGGTTTTCTGAGGATCGAACCTGTTTGTTTTTATTCTCTGGACTACTTTCTCAGTGGTGACGTCGGATTCGGTTTCAACTTCCACGTGAATTCCTGAATTTTTCTTTATTTTTTTTAATGGATTCCTCTTGATTTAAAACATTATGGTCTCGAGAGGAATTTTGATATTGAACACCAAATTTTATGCGCGTGAAATGTCAAGGAGTAAAATAGAACCTTTTTTCGACCTCTTCGTTCTTTTTTATCAGGAAAAATCACAAGGAAGCGGATTTTTTTCATTTTTCCTGATTTTTACGTTGAAGATTTTCGCGCACCCACTTCCAGTTAAGTTCTGAAGAAAAGAAATTCCTCGCATGGAAATTCTTTCTACCAACCATAATGTTTCAAAGCCCGAGGATTGATTTCTTAACTTTAAACCTTTCTTTTTCGGGACTTCAAAAGGATCTATCGAATAGTTTTTCGCCGGGTATTTTCCATCGACCACGACCTGAAAAATATTTTCCTCATAAAATTGAAGCTTTTTAAAACTTGGATTCTGAAGCGGTTAATCATCTCTTGGCTTATTTTGAATGGTGGTGCGATAATTACGGCGTCAACAATCTAGGATCAAAAGTTATAATTTTCTCTTATTTTCAACTCTCGAACCTTATAAGGCAGCAAGTTCAGAACTCGTTCTTGCAACGACAAAATGGACCCGTTGGTGCCTCCATAACCGCTAATTGTCTAAAAATACTCGGCTTTTTTCAGATAGAATGGATCAAAGATAACATCATCGCTGTACACTCCTACGATGAGGTAATGTCCGTAATCCTTGGCAGCTTCCAAAAACGAGAGATGGCCGATATTGAAAACGTCGAAGCCACCACATACGTAAACAACCTAAACAAGAGAAAATAATTAGGAAAATTCTGTTTTCTCAGAAAATTCTGTTGATTTTTTTCAATGGAAGGGTATAGTTTGTTCTCGACAGCTTACTGTAACTTTCAAGTTTTGAAAACGACGGTAAAGGATTGATAAAATCTCTGTAGACATCTACAATGAGGTTTTCTGATTCTGTTTTTCAAAAAAATGTTTGCCAATATTGGTCTTTCAATCAAGTAATGAAGCTTCGGATGCATTCAAGAGTGGAAAAAAAAATTCAAGATTGTCAAATTTTCATAAATCAACTGAATCGTAGAAATGGGTCTTTTTGTGGTCTGACTTGAGGAGACCTCAAAGACATTTTTCACAAAGGTCCATTAATTAACCATTCAAATTGGAGAAAATTATGTCGAGCATATTCTTTCAAATGTTACCAGATTTGAGCCATAATCAACTTGGTTTAAATATCAACTTATTATGGTTTTATGTTTCTTCTCTTACTTAAAAATTTTCTTTTTAACAGGTGTGGTTAGTTACTCTATCCTGCAACATCACCAAACCATCCTCATATTGCGTAATGAAGTGATTGAAAAAGAGATTTTGAACTTTTCCAATTTTTGTAGTTCATTCACATTTTTCAAAAGATTATGTGAATGAAATGGACAATAAATGAACTTTGAAAATATTTCCCCCTTCCGATCACAAAAGATCACTTTATCTGTTAGTGCAGGTGTTCTCCCAGGTACGACTTCCTCGAAAGCTTGTGCCGTCGCATTAAACCGAATAACGAGTGTCCAGGGCGACAAACCACTTTTATCCTGCAAATACATATTCTATTTCTAATTTTAGACAACCTTGAAAAGATTTCAGACTTTGACGCAGTTATAGGGCGAAAAAAAGACATTTGAAGGAAATGTTCCGCTTCCTATTTTAGAAAAGTTTCCTTTTTGCAGACTTGAAATTTCTCCGTATTTTATAAACCACAATCTGAAGTTTTTCTTTGAAAAAAATATGATTGAAAAGTCGGATTTCGTTATCAACACATAAGAAGGGCAAAAGGGAAAAAGAGCTTCCGGAAAATTAAAAAAGAGCTAATTTAAGGTATAAAAGGTGCTTCAAGTTAGTTATTGAAGATTTTTGAAAGACAATTTATGATCTCCAAACTTGTTAAAAATTCCAAAAGCAGTACCGTCGACAGTTCCAATGCCTTTTTCTCAAAATCTTCTATCCGGTTGATCGAAGTGCTTCGATGGTTCGAAAGAACACGGCCGACAACATCCTATAAAATTTCTTTTTTTCTTTTTTTATCGAAGAAATTGAGGCGCATATTCAGGCAAGCGATGACGAATGGCCGAATTCGGAAACAAAAAAAGAAACCAGTGTTGAAATTCCAGGATAGCGTCCCAATTGACGGAATCGGCCGCTTCGTTTCACTTCTTCGTAACTGTCTTTTCCTTCGAAAGTTGAAACGAGGCTTTCTGAAAAAGTCCTTAAAAACAATTTTAAAGAGAGAAGAATATTTTTTCCATAAAAAAGGCTTAAAGAAATAGGAAAATAGAAAAAAATCGAACTAATGCTTCTTTAATTTACTTTTCCTGCTTTTACGAAAAGATTTGCACAATTTAAGCTAAAATTCTGTGCAAAACCGTTTTTCCCAGTTTTAATATTATCTCTATCCAAGCCAAAATCAAGTCAAAGTTTCAGCAATTCAAATATGTCTCCAAACTGGCATGAAAATCGATGAATTCGTGTATTTCAAGATAAGTGGAAATGCCAAAGCAAAGTTCTAAAATATCTTTTCAAGAATGTAAAATATTCGGAGAATCATTCAAACAAGATCAACCCACGTCCGCAAACGCAAAAATCACAATCGTGTTGGTTCAAAGACGGGCCCGTCGTTTTGTATGGAGCATCACAGACAACCTTAGAAAGACAAATTATCTTCAAAAATCAAGAAATTCATATTCCTCACATCATCGACCCACTTGACAGCTTGAGTTAAAGTGCATCGCTCTTCTTCGGTAAAAACTGGATAGCCTTTATGAGTCTCAACCTAAAAAGAAAAATGTTTGAGAAAAAATAAACATTCAAGTTATACCTCTTCATCATTGAAAACACCGACAATGAGTTTTTTGCCATAAAGTTTCGATTGTCGGAGAAAAAGAGCATGATTGAAGTGGAATAGGTCATAACTGAAATAAGGTAAAACCCCTTTCATCATGAAAAATTTGAAGCGTCGCGGTTGCAAAGCGGTTAACTTTAATTTTCATCATTTGCGCCCGATTGTTAACTACTTGCGCAGAAGGCATCCTAAAGCTATGTGAAAAATTCTCAAGGTCGGAGGTCATTTTGAAAAATCAAAATGCAAGTGCAATCGCTTAAAATTAGCGCAACCGTCCAGTTTCGAGCATTTCACGCTGTCTTTAGGAATATTAGAGAAGTAGAAAAATATGAAAGTGCAAAAAATTTGAAACCAACCATCCGTTTGCCAGGACACGGCTTCCTTTTGGCTTCCCGTCTGGCGCGAGGCTGACCATTTTTTGACTGAAACATATTATTCGAAGATTTCGGAAATCGAATTTGAGTTTTAAGTATAAATTGTGAAAGGTTCATCAAAAATGAACTAATATTTATTTCTTGAAATTTCAATTAAAATAAAATGAAAAATTTGACTACATTGGCATCATTGCAAGCCAACATAAAGAGAATCTAATAAAGAGAAAGAAGTGAAAAATTATGACTAAAAACTTCGGTCAAACCTTTTTCGCTCAAAAAACGTTCTAACAATTTGAAAAATCATGCAGTATAATAACGGGAAGTTGTGATCGAGCTTTGATACTCAAACCAATTTTTCTTCCAGCACCTTTTTTGTAAACATAACAACAATAGGACTAGACAAAGGAATTTACATACAAAAGATCGGTTACGCATCAAAGTTTCGCCAGAAAAACAAGACTTTCTGAGAAAGTTTTCACAGTTTTCGAATTTTTACAACCTTCTCATCGTTTTTTGTTTAATAATAATTACTCTATATTTTTCAAAAAAATGCTGGCAAGAAATTTTCAAAACGAAAAAAGTCTGTAAACCGCTTTTTATTTTGATTTTTCACGGAATTTGTCTCAACTCTTTGAAAATCCAAAGAATGATTCTCCAACAGATGATCTACACAGCAAAATTTGTACATTCTGAGTTTCTAGCTTAAAAATCCTTAAAAAGCTTGAAACTCGAAATTTCCACTAGGAATCTAAAGTTTTTAGGAGACTAGAAATCAAATCCATTATTCCAGTGCATCTTTTCATCTGCATAGTTTTCATTCCTGTTTCAAGGACTTTTTTCAATTTCTCATGCAGGAACGGAGCAATCAACATATTCGAATCATTCGTTTATTCAAGAAAAAGCTCAAATAAAGCAGAAAACAACAAGAATAAAAGCAGGGTTAGGGCAAATTTTAAGCCGTTGCCCTTGTGGCCGCGTTGTAATAATGTGCAGTGTTATGTTGTTTCGGTTCGCACGTCGGTTGTGCTCCACGGATAATTCCTGAGTTGTCTGCAAAATGAAGTATTAGGTTTCGAAGGATAAAGCAGCGCTTTTTGATGCTGCGGTGTCGTTTTCAGAAAAAAATTATTTTCAAAAGCTTCGAAAAAATGAAATAGACGTTTTCATCAAATGTTTGATAGTTTTGTATAGTCTTGAAAATTAGGTTTTTCCTATGTAGTTCAATCAAAAAACCATTTCTTCACCTCAGCAACTTTATTTTCTCTCAATTCGAGCTCTATAAATGACCAAATATGAAAAGAAAACGAACAGCTTTTGAAGCAAGGGATCATTTGGGCATTACAGGCATCTTACTGTAAACGACCATCATGAGTCCCTGCCTCATTACCGTTTCTTCAGAGGGAAAATAGAAAGAAAAGGTTCAACTCCAGTCCAAAATTAAGTGGCCAGTATGGCAATCGCTGCAGACTGGTCACAGAACTTCGGACCGGTGGAGGAACAGAAAACGAATAAATTTGAATATTTCGGGGGTCTGATAGGTTTTCAGTTTTTTAGGCTTTTTTCTGTTTGATTATTGGAGTAGATAGATTTGATACGTTATTTACAATAGATTTAGAAAAAAGTCGGGGAGAAGGTTTTTTTACCACCTAAAATTTATAGACATTTAGATATCGATAAAAGCCCAGTTAACTGGAGAACATTTCATATTTTTTTAGAGTTGAAGAAATTATACTTTCATCAGTTTTGACATTTTCCTCGTTGTTCGATTAGAAACAAATTCAAAATTCTTCCCTACTGTAAATCTAAAGGAAATCAAATTCTTAATATTTTTCGAACTTGAAGGGTCATTAGTAGTGACTGAGTAGCCGTCAGTAGCATTCAGTCAATGTACTTCAGAAGATCTTCAGCTCAAGACAGCAGCCAGTAGAATGACGTTCTGCACAAGGAAGGAAGAATTTGTATAAGTTTGGAGGCTGGCCTGCACAGGGCGTTACAATGCCGATGACTAACGTGTAGCGAAAAAAAGATTGGGCCGTTGCCCCCGGTACAGTCATCCACACATGCACAATGCTTTCGAATTCCGTCCTTTTTGGGCTCGAACGGATCTTTTTGGTACACCTTATGATGTTTGGGCATAGGAGTTGGTAGGGAAAGTTTTTTTATGTTTCAAACAGCATTCGCCCCTTGAAATCTACCGGAATACGTTTGAAAGGAATAATTTGAATTTTATAGTCATTTTTCAGCGGTTAGTCCCATCTGTCGGCTTACTAACAAAGGAGGTCGTTTTACTTTGCGGTTGGGAATTTTCTAAACATGGGAAAGAACGCTCCTTGTTTTATCAGCTAAAACCCTGAAAGTCTCAACCTGCAACTTCCAAGTTTTCGAGGTAAAAAGGTCTGAAGTCTCAAAATATCCATTTTAATGAGTTTTGAGGCTTTTCTTTGACTTTGAGGCGTCTTTTCCCAAAAACGAGAAAGTTGTGCAGGTTGATACTCCTAGAACCTTCTTCTGGTACATCAAAGAGCGTTCTGGCCAATTTGCAACAAAATCCCAACCGCAAAGTAAAATGACCTTCCTTGAGAAGTTGTGAGAAGCTGGATAAATGACGAAGGAACGAATATTTTCTCCGACCAGGTACAGCCCGATCAGAATAATTTTTTAACCGATGGCTCGAGTCAGAAAAAGGTGAAAAACCGGAGGCGTGTTGAAATTTAATCGTGTATAGTCACGCGCTAATAAAATTTATGGGAACCAATACGGTTTACAAGATTTTTTTTCTTCACTCTACGGTGAAATTACGCCGAAACTCATTCCGTAGAATCATGCAAACGCGTGTTCAAATGCTCTTGGAATATAATTTTCTTATAAGCCAGTAAAAAAAAAAAAATAGAAACGAATTTTTTGAATTGTGACTTTTCTGCACTCGAACGGATGTTGGAACTACTGTTTGGACAAATAGAATTGTTTTAAGTGTTTCATTTGGTTTTTGAAATCTCGGTGAATAAAACACCATGAAGAGAGTGAAGTTCAAGATAGCCAAAAATCGCAATAATCAGAAGGATCTTATATTCGATTCACTTGAAATAACTGGGTGCACTCTAAAAGTTTCCTTATTTCTTGATATTTTTTTTTGGGAATGTAATGGCCAATCATTTAAACTTTTAATTCAACCATCCTCGTTGTTTTAAAAACCTCAATAAGAAGGGAACATTTTCTATAACCCTACCAAAAGACTTGTTAAAACGGGATTTTTAGTTCGCGTATAACTCGCAAATCATGTCAATTTTACAGTACAAAAAATACATAAATTCAGGATCCCTCAAACTGAAATATAGAAAAGTTTTATTACTCCGCATTTTTTTCCCAAGTTCAAGGTTGCCGAAAAAGTTTTTTTTTAACACCCAGTAAGAGCTCCGGGACTTGATGCTGGATACTTCGGAGATAATGAAACCTTATAAAATTGTACCGAGAAATCCCTTCGTCTTGTTAAAACAAAGAAAAAAACTTGTAAAAAATTAATACATGTTTACTTTCTGCACTGAATATCAAAAAAATTTTATTCGTCCGCTTTTTTCCATAAATTCAATTTTTTTCTAAAAGTTTCTTTCTTTCTAAATATTCAGCTCGAGCTTCGGGATTCGATGCTGAACACGTCGCGGATGATTTTGTAGTCGTCTCCAACTTTGCGCCAAATCTGGTTGTAGCTTCCGCTGATCCTCTCTTTGCGCACTTCCGATTTGAGCTTAAACTTCAAATCTTCACAAGTGAAAAGAAAAAAGAAAAAAGTCACATGGTACTTGCAGTCGTAGATGTAGTAGTCGCCCAAGTGGAAAAACTCTTCGTCATAATTCTACAATGAAAAACTATTTTTTGTAAGAGATCAAATCTCACCTCCGTGGATCGGTGTCCTAACTTTGTGTGGTACGCCTTGATAGCATCAACGATGTCTAAAAAATTCATTTTCACAGAAAAAGTCTAGGAAAAGTTAGTTAGTTTAGGAGCGCTTGAAATGCTTTTCCAGGAGCCAAAGCTTGATTCTGATCTTCCTGAACTTCAAAAAGAGTTTTTGGGAAAAAAGTGAAAAAAATTGGTATTTGTTTCAAAGTATTTATTCATGACGCCTTGCGTTTTTTGCATAAAATATGGAAAATATTCTGACAATTCAAAAGTTCAAAAACCTGCTCGAAATTTCAAAAAACCTGGTATCTGACAAAAGACGCCATTCTACTTTGCTGTTTAGAATTTTCCACAAATTCGTCAAATACTTTTTTGGGGTCAGTATCCCAGAAGATCCCACTGTGTATTTAAACAAGTTCACAGATCCGTCCGAAAGGCAAGGTGAAATAACCTTTCTTTTGAGGTTTTTCAATAAAAGACTAAAAAGTTTCAAAATTGAATTTTTGTTTTCCAAACGGAATTTTTTGCAATATTCCAAGACCCCTTCGAGAATGATGGCAAAAATGTTGTGAGAAAATGTTCGACGTGTTGTGGAGGAATCAAAGCATTTGTTTTCTTGACAATAGAAAAAATCAAACTGCTCGTAATTTTGAAAGGTGTTCGAGATGGATGAAGCTCTTATGTTTTCCTCTCAATTTTTCTGAAATCGAGGAAAAAAGTCTGTCAAACCAGCTGAAGTCAATGAATCATCGCATATCGGGGTTTTTTTGAGAAATGTATTTTTGCGTCGGTTCCGCGGTTTATCTACTTTACGCTGAGATTGGCCTTTTTACCTAATTTTTTTAAGAACTTTAATAATTAATAACAATCTTAACGTTCTTTTTTATGCAGGACTTCAATTTAAACTGGAAATCATTTAGGTTTCTTTCTCAGTGGGAGTAGAAAAATGAGAAAATCCATCGCCACTTGAACGACTTTGGTTCTAAAATGAGGAATTTACTTTTTTATTTTGCACGAAAACTGCATTAAGAGAAAGTTTTTTTTTCATATGTTCAATATGAATATTTTCAGTATCAAGAACTGACCTTTCGGCCCGTAGTGACACGCTTGTCCCTTCTCGATGAGAACCGCGTCATCGTCGTAGAACTTGATGACCTTCAAATAGCTTAGCATCGAAACAAAAATAAATTCTCCTGACTTCCTCATAGTTTCTGCTGTAGACTGCTTCGCAGTACTGTTCAAAAAGCGTTTTGATCGCCTCGGAAACTGTAAAATGAATTACGAAAAGAATAAATTCAAAAAAAGGGGTTACCAACAGCCATCGGGAAAGACAGGGGCTAAGGACACACTGATTTGTCAATGTGTCAATTCGAATCTTGAAAGTCAACCTATTTATTGAACCCCGCAAGAGACTGATTTGTTTCAATAAAAAAAAAACGACGATTTAGTCGCTTCTAATTTCAATCACACGGCTCCTGAAAAAAAAGAAGACAAGTGAAGGAAGTCGAAGACGGCTTTTTTTTGATGGATCGGGTCGATAATGTCGATTCTCTTGTTTCGATGACTTTTTGGAACTTGAAAGCAGTCTTTGATTCCGAAGATTCAATAAAAAACTTATCAGCTTTGTTCTTGTATGAGAAGAAAAATTTTACATTTTATCTAAGCTCATTTTTTTGAGCGTTTGACGAAATTTTATCCGAGCTTCAAACATTTTTTTACTTCGATAATCAAGTTAGAAAAAAATTGACTTTTTTTAAACTTTTTTTCAGTCGAAAGCTGAGGCTGCCAGGCTGAAAGTGAACTCGACATCTTTTCCAAGCCATTATATAAATTTGGCGGCTACAACTTTTCCAGAATAATAATCCTTACAATTGGAAAAGACGAGTAAACTTTTCATTATGAAATTAAAATAAACAATTCCAATAAACATCGCCTTGATATTCTGAAGTATTTATATGAGTCAAAAATGCGATGATTAAAAAAACAAACAATACAATTACAAAGCTTTTTCAGATTCTCATGATGTCCGAACTTGTTGTTACGCTTATCAAAGACCCAATATCATTTTTCGAAAATTCAAACTTTATTTTGTTAATGGAGGATTCTGGATATTTCAAAGCTCTCCTTCTAAAATTTCGATTTCATTTTGAAATTTTTCGAAAAAAGTTAAGCCTCGAATAGTTATTATAGGAAATGATCTCATCTGATAAATGATTCAGAGATCATTTTAGCAACAATTTATCTTCAATCCAATCTGACGGCGACAAACTTCAACACTTCAACATCATAAGGGCGTGACAAAATGAGTAAGGTCGTCTGTTTCTCAGCGGCAATTGATCTTGACAAGAGGGATAAAAAGGTTCGTTTTCCCGAAACGAAACCGTCGCTATCATTTTGTCTGTTTTTTCTACTTCATCGAACTAATTACATCTTGCGATGGCTGCAGGTTAGACCCAGTTTTCTGAACTTGAAAAACACTTTTTTTCAGAAACCATAAAGGAATTGTTTGAAAAATATTCCAAGGCAGTGTACGCTAAGAAATTCGATGAAGTATGAAAGCTGTAGCTTTCAAGCCAGAAAAAAACGTTTTAAGGTCCTCGGATATTACGATGACGACGCGGTCCTCATCGAGAAGGGAAAGTCCTGTCACTATGGTCCTAAAGGTACTTTTTCCAATTTTTCCAGAAAAGTATTGGAAAATGACAAAAATTAAAGAAAGTTTCTTTCAAAGTTAAAAATATGGAAATTTCACGATTTCAAGAAAATTTTTCAACACTTTCAGCTATCATCGAAGCCATCAAGGCTTATCATGAAAAGCTGGGAAAAACGACTACTGAGGTTTGTTTTTGACGGGAGAGCTCAATTTTTTTCATCCTTACCTTGAAAGGTCTCAACGGGCATCGGAAAGATGAGAAAAATTAAATTTTTAAGTTTAGGATGTATTCAAAAAGTCAGGGCCCCGTTGCTGTTGTTTATTTTCGAAAAGTTTTCAAAACTTGAAATAGAAGACCTTTTTTGTCAACCTTGAAAAGAAAACTTTAACTTGAAGGTCTCAATTCTAATTTTCCAGAACTTCAACGAGAAATTTGATAATAACGGCGGCTACTACATCTACGACTGCAATTATAGAGTAAGTCTCTTCAAATGGAAAAAAAGTTTGATGAGTAAATAGCTGAAGACGCAAACGACCAACGAAGTTCTTGTCGGCAGCTACAACCAAATTTGGAAGAAGATGGGCGACGACTTCAAAATCATTCGCGACGAGTTCACCATCGATTCTCAAAAGGCTCTCTGACACTAGGAAAAATAAAAAACTTCAACGGGTGGAATGAAGTTTGTACTGTGCTTCAAAAATTTTTATAAAATAGATTAATAAATTTTTTTTTTCGAACCGTGTTATATTTCGAAACAATGTCAAAATTTTTAAAAATTGCATTTTCACTTTTTCCGCTGCAAATCTTGTGAAAAATGGAATAATCCGTTGTGCTGATAAATTATACTTTCTCGAGCCTCCATAAGCCCAAGCCGTTTCTGGTCGGCTGCAATTTTGAAGTAACCGTTTCACTAAAGTTAACTCTATCGCGCAAGTAGTACTGAGAAACTATAGCATTATTTTGCATGATAATCCCTCGATTCAGAAGTCAAGTTTCATCAGAAAATTGTTTCTGAAACAAATGAACTTTTGATTTCGATTTCTCGAAAAATTAAACAGGCTGAGAAACACTGTCTAAAAATAAACAACTAGAAAACTTACCAATATGGTTGCAAACCGGTCAAGTTTGGTGATAACTGATAATAGATGACAACTTTGTAGTTTATAGCGATCGGAATGATCGCAGGAAAGAACTTTTTAAATGTGATCTGAAGGCATCTTGGGCCAAACTCAATTATTCAAACTTTGGAATAATATATTTTTTTGAAAAAAAGTTACAAAGAAACCGAGAAAGCGGACACCGGCTTTGACCAGTCTTGAAGCGAAAACCATGATGAGTCGGCCAACAATACAAGCTTTTTATTTGTTTAACAGTAGCTAAAGGTGATAAGACATTTTTTTGAGACCGTGACGCTTTATATTTATTAGAGAAAAAAACTCTTCCTCATTTCAAACTTTGAAATAAATCTCAGAGAAACCGGACGTCTTTTTCTCAGTTAGAGACTTTTTTTTTTTAAATTTCGACTGATCTTGGAGAAATATTGATTTTTCTTTTTTCAACGAAGTGGACCTTCTTCACATGTCCGTTCACAAAAAGTTGGATGATTTCATCCTTATCAATCAGGCCAAATAGGTTGGAGAAAGATGAATTACGTTATTGCATCGAATCAAAACTATTCTCTAGTTGCCGCAAGGAACCGAAAATCTTGTTGATTCGGGTAGAATATATTCGACTACAAAAGGCTTTTTTTTTGCCGACAAATTCTGTGTTCTTCTCAAGTTTACAGGCGGATTTGCAAGCACTCGACGGCACATTCACTCAAGTGCCCCTAGTCAACACCTCAAAAACTCTTTCTTCATTTTCTTGTTTGATTGTCGGCGGCTCAAATGGGTTAGAATGTATAGGATTAGGATAAGATATTACATGTTTTGGAAAAGTTAATTTTTTTAGAGGAAATTTATGAAAGTTAAGCGAGAGTCCAAAAAACTTAATTTTTGTTTTCTGAAGCATTGTTATTGAACCATTACGATTTTTTGAATTTTCGAGGATACCTTCTAAGTATTTGAGGTCATGCTCCCTCCCCTGTGAAGAGCTTAGCTCATCAATCTAATTGCCCAAAAATAATCTCATGGTAGATTTTTTGTTTTCAATGAAAGTTCGGTTATCCTATTCAGTTCGCGAAAAAAAAAATAAATTACCAAAACCCATTTTTGTTTACTATTCAACTCAAAACGCAACGAAAGGTTGAAAATCGCCCTATCCGTTACTGATCTTCTGTCCGAGTTGTCTCAAGAGGCTCGTTCAGTTTTCACGTCTAGAGAAACTTGTGTAAACTGATATGTATCCGTGATTATGTGAAACCCGCTGAATGTTTCCAAACCTGTTTTTTGAACGCTCAAGAGGCTTCACTTTTTTGCGGTTTTGTGAAATCTTCAATTTTGCAAATAAGTGCGTCAAAAAATTTTGCAGAGCAATGATTCTAGAAAACTTAGGAGACAATGGTTTTTCCATTTTTAAAACTGTTCAATCTTCTAAAGATCAATGAGTTTGCATTTAGTTGGTTATATTTTACGGGTAATAAGTGATTCATAAGTTATTCTGATCAAGGCTAAAAACCATAAAAAATATTTTCCTCCTTCGATCAAAAAAAGATCAAAAGTTTTCGGTGAGAAAAATGGACGAATTTTGAATTATACCGGTAGTTTTTTGCCTCTAAACTCAACGCTTTTTTTCGTGCAAATTGTATCAAATATTTTTTTAATTTCAAGAACTCAATCGCTACTAACTTTTCTGTCTGAAAACTTGAATTGGAAGAATTCGAGTCCCTGAATAACGTTTCTTTGAACAAACGGAATGATTTCTTGATCCGTAGAATTTTTCAAAAAGTTGAACAGTTGAAATTTGGTGTTCAGATTTTTTGTCCCAAAACTCGAATTGGAACGAGACCAAGGCACGTCATTTAGGCGTAAAGGTGCTCAGATGCGGACGTTTGGAGGCCGATTACTCGCATTCCAGACACTCAGCGATTTCACGGCTCGGTGCTACCACTAAAACATCAGAGGCTCGGGACCGCGTTTGGAAATTGGCCGTTTAGGATGTTGGATATTGTCCCAATACCTCAGTTTTGAGCCTTTTCCAGGAACTTTATACTTTTTTTAGTTTCTCACGATTCATACCTTAGTTTCAATCAAGATCCTGTCAATTTTGAGCTTGAAAAAATTAAACTCTTTGAAGTTATTTCGAGAAAAATGGGAGGAAGATTATTCAATATTTTGTTTTTATTTGAGTTATACTGTTCCAAGCGGCAAATTTTACTCATTTTGTTGACAATTCTAAGGTTTTGTGGTTTGAAAACTCAACTAGGAGACAATTTGAAAATGTTCTTTATGTAAAAATTTATTTGAGCCAATGAAAACAGTTATCTTGTGCGAAATTCCCTTTTTTTTCTTAAGAAAGGTTCCTTAACTCTTTTCATAAGTATCCGAGCAGTCTATGAAGCTTTTCTCTCAAAAAAGCCATCAAATCGTGTCATTTTTCTCGCTAGAACAACAGATTTCTGTTTTCTCTCGTTTTTTATTTTCTCAAGACTCCTGCAAGTAACCATAAAGTTTTCCGAGCTTCAGAGAGGGATTTAAATAATTACACTTCGGAAAATGTTTGCGACAACTTTTTGCTTCTTTTCGCCGGAGACAAAGCTCTTCAAAAAGAAGGACTACAAAATACTTGTTGAGATAAAAGTTGAACGGATAGTTGACCCAAAATGATAAATCACAAGGAAAAGGTGGAAAGCTTCCGGGAAACGGCTTGTAAAGCACTCGAAAGGCTCGTCCCAGTACTTCACTTGACGGTTCCTTCCAGCCTTTCTATTCTTCAGTCTCGGCAACAAATGAGCTCATCGTCTGCATAAATTGAATTTAATTCCGCCAGAGCACTCAGCGTGACGTTTTGTTCTCACTTGGTCTTGTTTTTCCGCCTCGCATTTGTTCGCTTTTGTCTGGTAGACGCGTAATTGTTTTTTATTGCATTAAAAGTACTTCGTAAGAAGTTGAGGAAGCTTGTACAATGCATGGAGTAAATTAAAATTGAAGGTGTTTGACATTTGCCTCGTTTAAAACTTCATATTCCGCCAAAACATCTCCAGTAGCGATTTTTAGGGTCGCTTTGAGTAAGAACTAAAGCAAACTATTTGAATAATGAAAAAATTCAGAAGGTTTCTTCAAAGGAGTGGAATCAACTTTCTTCAAAATACTTTTCACCATAAATCAGCTAGAAAAAAAATTATTTTTTGATTTGATAAGATTGAAAAAAAACTTTAAAAGCTGAGTATGAGTTCATGGAGTTATATTGCTCAACAGTTTACTCTCCGGACCTCAAACTACTTGCGCTGTCAAGAAAACTATGCAAAACTTATTATGTGTTGCGAGTGAAAAAAACTTTAAAAAAAATTTTTCAAAAGCTGTGAAAAAGTTGATCGAAAAAGCGCAGAAATGCTCCAAAGCTACTATGACATTGATGCTCTTCCGATTCATCCAAAAACTCCGGTATTTTCCTAATTTTCTTCTACCCTCACCCAATCGCTCGTCAAAATGATCCCGGCTGGATTAACTACATTTTCAAAAGCTGTTTTTCCAAATTCACATCATGAGAATCTCCAAAAATAGTTTCAAATCCGCGAAAAATGTCGATAGAATAGAATAATGAAGCTGAGACTGATGACACAATGGAATGCCGCGCGAAGACAAATCACGGCCAAGGTTGAAGAATTGCCGTCGACGTTCGAAACAACGCGTGAGTTTCGCCGATTTTTCGGAGCCCCTCATTTTTCAAAGCTGCCTTATTATTCCGGGTTTCAATTCCAACAGCCCCATCCTCTGGATTTTCTGAATGATTTACGATTGCGGTTCGCATGATGCAGTGTTTCTTTGGTTAAAAAATGCTCTTTTCATTTCTTGGCGATCTCTTTGAGTTTTGAATAGAAATGGGAATAAAATTCTCAGATTCATTTTTTTTTTTTGAAAGAGCCAATTAGTTTCCGAGTTTGAGGAAGTTTTCCAAAAAAATAGTTTTTACTGATTATTTTCCTAAAAAGTTTTAGTACGAATTTAGTAGTTTCTTGATCATTTATCTATCGGGATTCCATCAAATTTATCATATACAAGATCTTTGGAGTTCATCATTAATTAATCATCTATGAATGATAAATTAAACCATCAATTTCATGCTTAAGGTGACTACGTTTTCCATACAAAGGTAACTCTCCCACGCGTTCAGTTTTTTAGAAACCTTGTTAAAAAACTTTCGACAACTGGCTTTTGCTCATTTTTCCGAGCTTCCTAATCCGTTATTTTTTTGGTTGAACTTCCAGCGTGGCGCACTTTTGAGGCCTTGACGAAAGGGAACGACCACGTCCCAGGCGTCAACTCTTCTGACTTCCTCTTTTTTTTTTCTTTTTGATGGGAAACCGAACGGTTCAGAAGGAAATGCTAGAAGGGATATTTAAACTTTTGCACTTTTTTAAGAAATTCGAAAGTCCCTGAATTATTTCGCAAGCCGATTGAAGTTTCTTAGCTTCGATGGTTTCCGGATTTTTTATCTCTGAACTGATGGTTTTCAAAAAAATTCCTGCTTCAGTTTCATCTAC